TTTTTTTCAAGAAAAAAACTCAGGCCAGGTGTGGTGGCCCACGCCTATAATTTTAGCATTTTGGAAGGCCAAGATGGGAAGACTTGAAGACCAGCTTGGGCAATAAAAATGAGGTCCTGTCTCTACAAAATAAAAATTAAAAAATTAGCTAGGTGTGGTAGCACACATCTGTAGTCTCAGCTACTCAGGAGACTGAGTCAGGAAGATCCCTTGAGCCTGAGGAGTTCAAGGTCACATTGAGCTATGATTGGTGCCACTGCACTCCAGCCTGGGCAACAGAGTGAGAGCCTATCTCACAAATAAAATGAAAAATCAGCAAGCATACAGAGCTCAGTAACACCATCCAAAGGATCCAACAAACATTTATAGAAAACTCCACCTAACAAGAGCAAAATACATACTCTTCTCAAGTGTTCACAGAGCAAATACCAAAACAGACCATATCTCGGGCCAGAAACAAACTTAGACAAGTTTAAAAGAGTTGAAATTATATGAAGTATATTCTCAAACACAAAGGATTCAAACTAGGAATCAGTAACAGGAAGATAACAAGAAAATCTCCACACAATTGGACTAAACAACACATCACTAAATAACCCAGGTCAAAGAGGAAGTCTCATGGCAATCAAAGAATACAATGCCTGAAGGAAAATAAAGATACAACTTATCAAAATTTCTGGGACACAGTTAAAGAAGTGCTGAGGGGGCAATTTAGAGCACTAAATGAATATGTTAAGCAAGAAAGTCTCAGGCTGGGTGTTGTGGCTCACGCCTATAATCCCAGCAGTTTGGGAGGCCGAGACAGGTGGATCATCGGAGGTCAGGAATTCGAGACCAGCCTGGCCAACATGGCGAAACCCGGTCTCTATTAAAAATACAAAAATTAGCCAGGCATGATGGTGCATGTTTGTAGTGCCAGCTATTTGGGAGGCTAAGGTGGGAGGATCACTTGGGCACGGGTAGTGAAGGCTGCAGTGAGGTTCTCATTGGCACACAGAACATTCTCCAGGAGAGTCTACGGCCAGAACACGCACAATCTTGTCTGATCTCAGAAGCTAAGCAGGGTCAGGCCTGGTTAGGACTCGAATGGGAGAATCTTCTCCAGGATAGACCACATGTTAGGCCACAAAACAAGTCTCAACTAATTGAAAAGAAGTGAAATCACATCAAGTATCTTTTCTGATATAACAAGAGCAACTTTCAAAACTATTCAAACACAGAAAAACTAAAGAACATGTTCCTAAACAACTTATGACTCAATAAGAAATTAAGAAGGAAAATAAAACATTTGTTGAAACAAATAAAAATCAGAACATAATATACTGAAACCTATGGGATACAGCAATAGTAACACTAAGTGTATAGCAATAATTGCCTAGACCAGAAAGGCCAAAGATTTCAAATAACAGAGAAATGCATCTCAAGGAACTAGAAGAGCAAGAACAAACTAAACTCAAAATCAGTAGAGGGAAATAAATAATAAAGATAAGAGCAAGGCCAGGTATAGTGGCTCATGCCTGTAATTCCAGTACTTTGGGAAGCCAAACTGGGAGGATCACTTGAGCCCAGGAGTTCAAGACCTGCCTGGGTAATGTAGTGAGACTCTGTCAGAAAAAACTTAAAAATTAGTTGGGCATGGTGTTACACATTTATACTCCCAGCTACTCATGAGGCTGAGGCAGGAGGGTTGCTTGAGTCCAGGAGGTCAAAGCTACAGTGAGCAGTGACTGTGCCACTGCACTCCAGTCTGGTGACAGAGTGAGACTCTGTCTCCCCACCCCATGAATAAAAAAATCAGAGCAAAAAAACACTAAATTGTGACTAACATGAAAGATAAACAAGGCTGGGTGCAGTGGCTCACAACAGGCACTCTGGGAAGCTGAGGCTGGAGGACTGCTTGAGCCCAAGAGTTTGAGACCAGTCTGGGTAACATGGTGAAACTCCATCTCTACAAAAAAAGTACAAAAATTAGCCAGGCATGGTGGTACATGCTTATAGTTCCAGCTACTTGGGAGGCTGAGGTGGGAGGATTGCTTGAACATGGGTAATAAAGGTTGCGGTGAGCCAAGATCATGCCACTGCACTTAGCCTGGGCAACAGAGCAAGAGACTGTCTCAAAAAAGGCCAGGCGTGGCCGGGCGCGGTGGCTCAAGCCTGTAATCCCAGCACTGTGGGAGGCCGAGGCGGGTGGATCACGAGGTCAAGA